ATTTAGGAGTGTTTCTCATCGGTTATTAAGTAAATTGCGAATAACATTCCAACATATGATATAGTGGTTATTCATATGTTAATACAGTTATATAAAAGACAGGTGGGTAGAAAATTTCCTTTAGAGTAAAGGAAATTTTCTACCCTCCTGTCTCTTATATAACTGTTATGACTGGTTTAATTTTTTTCAATTAGACTTATTTTTTAGTCAAAACTTTTGAACTTCACTAATAACTAATTACTAAAGTTAAGTAATTGTTATTAGCGAAGTTCCAAAACTTGATATTGTAATATTTCAAAAAGTTCATTAACTAATGTACTGGTCCAATTATTTCGAATAGAACAATCTAAAAGTTGTTAATTAAAGATATTGAATTATATTGAATTATCACCATAAACTCTCTGTATTATTAATAGGTTTTCCTTTTGAAAAATATGACTATGATTAGAATATCATGTATATCAGAATATCATGTATATACTTAATATATATATATATATATATTAAGTATATACATGAGATTCTGCGATGTCTAAGTCTTTCAAACAGTTAGAACTTTGTTCTTGATATAGTATATCAATTATTATACTTGAAACACTATATCAAGTGTCAAGTATATACTTAATATATATATATATATATATATATATATATATATATATATATATATATATATATATATATATATATATATATATATATATATATATATAATAGTATATCATATACCCAGTTTTTAACTATTTATTTCAATATCTGTATCAATTTCAATACATGTATCAATATTAATACGATTCTCAAGTAATTAAATGTTTAAAAAAAATATATATAAATTAGCAAGAACCTGTCTATAAGTCGCTTTTCATAAGGTGCTTTTAAAATTCTCCTTGAATCTTTGGGAAGTTCCAAACCTTGATTTGGCAATATTTCAAGAAGATCATTAACTAATGTACTGGTTCCATTATAAAATAGCATAATGTTGTCGAGTAAAGACATTGAATTCAAAGAATTATCAGGATAATTGTTCCATGATCATTAACAGGTTTTCCTATTAAAAAATTCGATTCTGCATGAGATGTCTAAATCTTATTGTTAGAACTTGGTTCTTGATATAGCAATACTATACTAATAGTATATCAAGTATATATATATATACATAGTATAGCATATATTCAGTTTTAAACCGTTTCTTTCATTATCTGTAAAAATTTCATTACCTGTATCAATATTACCACAATTTTCAATTGATAACAAAAATAAAAATTAGATGGAACGTGTCTATTAGTTGTTGTAAAAAGACTTCTTTAGTAATTGAAAACAAACTTTATTAAAAATGCGTTACTTAAAAATTTTATGAAGTTCTAGCGCTTGCGTGATTTAACTGATTTATTTTTATTTTAATAAAGCATTCTGGATATTTTTTGGACGAAAAAATTATTGGACTCGAATAAGACGTTCAAAAGACGTTTAGAATTTTAATGGGACGGACAGACGCGATTTGAACGTCCTAAGGGCGTCTTTTTTACGTCCTGTGCCCACTGGGATAGTTTTTTTTTAAACTAAAACGTTTTAATTCGAAATATTTAGTATAACACTAATCTATATTAATTAAAAGCAAGCAACCAAATACGCGGTGTTTTAAAGTTTTCTTTTTAAACAAGAATACATGTGTACTTCAAATTATCAGAATATAGAAGCGTCGCAAATGTTTTAAGTTGAGTAGTAGGTTGTTTTATATTTTGGTACCTCTACTTAAAAACTCAATATCTACAAGTTTGGTCGGAGTGTAAAATCTGATTGAGTGCCTGTTTTGATTTTTTTTGAACGGCGGGTTAAATTTTAAAAGTTATATTTTTAATAACGCAAAAAACTATATTAATTGATACTGTTACAATTAAAAAAATAATCAAAATGATATGCTACTATGATAAAATGCTAGAGACGACTTTAAATCATTAAATTATTTAAAGTTTCATTTTCAAAATTTTGCGTTTATTCTCTCCTCTTCCTAAACCAAATTTAATTATTCTCTAATTTTTTAGATTCCACGTGCCTGATTATTCACGTAAACATAATTCGGACGGAAAAATTAGTTATTCAAACGTGCGTTTGAAATTTAGTTTTCATGCGTGTTACAACACAAATAGTTTTCTTGACTCTTAGCCATTAGCAGTCATTGTGTTGTGGTTAGAGCGCTGGCTTCAGAATCAAAAGGCCTAACGTGTCGTTCATAAATTACATCACCGAGTTTTTGGGTGAGTAATTTATGGATGTAATATTTTAACCTGGTTTAACCTTATCAGTAGCAAACACGCAAAAATATTTTTAAAAATGTATTTTTGTCACTCTTAAAATGTATTGTTGTTACTTAAAAGAAAACTATTAGACCAACTTGTAAGACATTTAAAATGTAGGAATCAACACTATGTACTGTTTGTAGAAGTTAGCATTTTACATATAGTCTTCAGCAAGTTATCACCATAGGTTAAATTGCTTCTAAAAGTGCAGCTTAGCCTTTTATTAAATACAGGGATGGAAGTCTACACAACTTTTTAGATTTGTTGAGTTTTTTTTTTTAATGAATATTATGAACATTTTTATTAAAATCATCTGAAATGTTCTTATTTTTCCTGTCATTGTTTAGTTTTCAAAATTGGTGTGCAGCCGTGGCGCAGTGGTTAAAGCGCCTACTTTATAAGCAGGAGATCCAGGTTCGATACAAGCCTTAGACATATTTTCGCGTCACGGTAAGGAAGGAGGCGTGAACTCTCTGGTTAAATGTACTTCCGCGGTGCTCTGTGACAAGAGAGTTGCCTTAATTGGAACAATTTAGGAATAAATATTTATTAACCAAAGATGGTTTAACTATGAAAACATTTATGATTTGATTAATATAAACAGACATCCCTACTATACTTTTAAACACAATTTGACTTAATTAATTGCATTGTTATTGGAAATAAATTTGTGTTTACAAAGTTACCATTTTGTCCCAATCAAGGCAACTGGTTCCCTAATTCATTAATCAGAACAGGTTATTTAAAAAAAACAACAGCAGTAAAATCGACAAAAATTTGTATAAAATGATTTTTATCTTTACAGTGAAATTTTAAACAGTTAATTCAAAACTTATTATAGGATAAGTTTTGCCCTGACAAATTTAAAGTCTACAAACAAAAAATTGTATAAAGCTTTAACTGTTATGACGTTCTCTTAATTTATTGATTAAAAATCACTAAATAAAGTATTATTTTTAAGCTTTATGGTTGTTACTAAGTATTTTTTTAATTTTACTCAAACTATTTTTACAACCCTTTGATTTTATTACTGATTAGGTAAGGAAAACTTTAATGTTCCAATCAAGGAAACTTTCGACTATTTTGTTATATCACTACAATAACATGCTTGCAGCAACTTATAAGTTTACCCAGCGCAATCAACATAATGCGAATGTAAAATTAGATCACTGAAAAAGAATAACGCAAAAAAAAGTTTTTAATCAATGGTGCGAACGCATTTTATGAGGAATAACTTTTAAAACGTGTCAAAACGTAGAAAATAAGTCGTTTTACTAAAAAAATGCAAAATATAGCCATAATTCATTTTTTTTTAAATAAATGTGTTCCCATTAAACAAGTGTTCCCATTAAGGCGCTGTTCCAATTTCGGCAACTCTCCCCTATAATTATTACTTTAAATAATTCTATATTTTTTAACTTTTTATTTGAAAAAGATTTTTTTATGTCCAATTTTTTTAGTTTGTTCATATACCTTTTCGTTTTCAGTAAAACCAAAAAAAAACTTTGGAATTTCGTATCAGAAAAAAAATATTAAATAATTTTTTTATATTTTATTTTTTTTCACTATAACTTTTTTTTTAGCTGGTGTGTTTCACAGTTATATAATGTAAAAATATTCGGAAACATTACCTTAAAAAATATCCTTTAAATAGCACTGTTGCAACTTACCTATGTTGCAACAGTGTCTCGATTTCCCCTAGATAACTAAGATAATTGAAAATCAGATAGAAAAGAACGTTTTCTAGCAAAAAAACTCCCTCCAACAATATGCAAAATCTTCTTAAGTCTTATCTTTCAGAAGATTTTATCAGGCTGTAAGAAAAAAACTCTATCAAACAAAATCGGTGAAAGAGAATGTTGCAAAAAAAAAAATAATAATAAAATCGTTTGCGTATTGTGTATTAGAAAAATGTTTTTATATACATTTAAATAAGAAGCTTTTCTTTGTTATCTAATTCAAGTATATAAAAAAATTAATTATGAATAAAAAAATTAATTATGTTTATATGCCTATTTGCAAAGACAATGAATTCTACATTGCCTAATCCTGGAATTTAATTTTTGATTTTGACTTTGAGGATTTTGAAACCAACTATAGATAAATAGAGTTTATGCATCTATACTGTTTAGGATCCTATTTATTTTTTGGATATAAAGATAAGTGAGTTTTTACTGTTTGACAAATCACTAACAAGCAGTGCTCGAAGTAAGGCGGGATGCGGCTGGATGCCGTCCCATCACCTTTTTATAAAGTATAAATCATCCCCCCACCTTTTTATAAATCTCTATATAATAACAGTGATTAGGCGGTATGGTATTTTTAATTTAATGAATACCATCCCGTCACTTTTTTTATCTCCACTTCGAGCGCTACTAACAAGCATAAAACCTTCGCCCTTCATTACAATTAGAAGTATATTTTTTCAACGCCTGAAATTTCTTTCAAATTTAGGTATTTAAAATTTTATATTATGCTACCCAGTGGGCATGGGACGTAAAAACGACGTCTTTAAAACGTCGTTCAAAGTTGTGGATACCTTTGAAACTTCAAAACACGTCTTTTTTACGTCTCGTGCCCAGTGGGTAATCTGATTCTGTAAATACACATATTTGTAAATACATATATTTGGAAACTTTAACATTATTTTAAATTTTCACTATTTGACTCGGACTGAAAGTTTCGAACCTCAGCGATTAGTTAGCTCTCTGAAATGCGGCCGTGACATAAAAACGCCAATTAAAATCCATTTATGTCCGTTAAGTCCGTTTCAGCTTGTTATAGAACAAGATTTACTATTCATCTTTATGGTTAACTGTAATCCATAAAGTTTATTTTTTATAAACATAGTATAATGAATATAATAAGCTGGTTAAAGCATTTGCTTATTTTGACTTTCGTTTTTGCCATCAAAATATGTTTGGTTTTCTCTAACGGAACCATTTTTACTACTCCGGTAAGTAACGATCGTTTTAAAATCATTTAATTGTTTGTTTATGTATTTTTTTATTTAGTTTTATTAAATAATAGCGATTTCATTTACTTTTTAAAAATATATATTTATTTTGTTATTGATGTTACATTTCTCGTCATTTAAAAAATATATCTTTCTTTATCCAATACACGGTTCTTGTTTACTTTCTTTTCCTTTAGTTATGAAAAAACCTTATGAAGTTGATTAGGTTTTTTCATGCTTTTGTAGAGTCAATATAAAGTATGATATGCTGATAAAAAATTATAATTTAAAATGGCATTTAATAAATAAAAATTAGACATTTAATGTTTTCAATACAACAGTAACTATAATTAAGTTAAAGTGAATTTTCATACATCCACTTCGAATTACCACAATATTTTACAGGTGACAACTAAATATTACAAACAATAAGTTCTTGTTTAAAATGTAAAATACACATGTTTAACTAAAAATGTAAAAGTGTCTATAGTTTATCAACACCTATATTGTTTACTTTAAAAGAAACAAATATTGGTCTGTTTTTTATTTTAAATTTACCAGAAAAATTAATTTTAGCTACAATAGACTGTTGTAGTTAAAATAGCTATTGTAGCTACAATAAACTATTAAATAGTTCGAAAGTTTATAGTTCTATAAATTTACATCTTTTTATGAATTTAGTATGAAAACAGATGCATAAATCAAATTAAATATGGATGTACTAATATGAGTACTTCTAAGAAGAAGCACAGAAAGACACACACAAAAAAAAAGTTAATTTGATAGTTATCCATTTTAGAGGAATTTTTTTTGTCAATATATTTAAATATGATTGACATAGTTGTATAGAGCTTAAAAAAAATTAAAAAATGAGGGGTCTTTCAATTTTAGATGTTAATTTGATTCAAAGTTATTGTATTCTTTGTGATGGAAAGACTGATGATTATTTGACAAAACGCTATGTCCTTAAGTAAGGAAAATTTGGAATGAAATGGCACCGAATCATTATTAAAAAAACATCAAAAATCAAGCTCAAAAATCAAAACAAACGATATGCAAAGGAATAAAAACAATATATACATTTCTAAACAGAATTCCTAAGTACTACTTCTACAAGAAAACATAAATAAATACATGTTTTAAACTGAGGAAAGGCTATAATTGCATTTCCACATGGACTCTTTCAAAAAACACTTTTTTTTCTATATCAATTAACTATTTTTAAAATTGGAACCGCTTATTTAGCATTTTTTAATAGTTTAGAAAAAATTGAAGAATGTTTAGGAGAACCTTTTTTTAAGACTATGATAACAATCTTGTCTAAAGCACAAACTGTAGAAGCATTTAATTGAGTATTAACTTTAGCATAGGAAGCCAGAGTGATTTGGATGTTTAACAATCGATTAATTTGATTAGGTAGTATGGCAGAAAGATTATGCCTATTACATTTAAGAGTCATGTTAGAGGAAAAGTTCTTTCCAAATAACTCTGCCCTATTCTAGGGAAAAGTAAAATGATCAGACCCATGAATAAGAGATTAAATGTTAGACTTATTTTAGTTATTGACACTGTTGAAGACTTTTCAAAAGTCTCTAGAACCTAACATCTGAGATAAGATACAAGATTTTGTAAACTGAGAATAACAGAGCTTAACAGGCATTTTAGCTCTCACTCTAGCCCACACTCCTAAAATAGTTTACAGGATTTGCCCCACTCTCCTAAATTAGTTTACAGGAGCAATTTACAGCTCTCTCAAAAATATAATTATCATTCTAGTGAAAAACGCTCAGTCATTTTTATAAAAAAAAATTAAGACTTGGTAAAAAAAAAAAAGACTTGGTAAGTAAGTTAAACGAGGAAAAAAAAAAGTATACAAAATGAAACAGAATCAGTCTGTAGTTGTTAGATCACCACCTTATAAATCTTCTAGCACTCTTCAAAAAGCTATTAAAGGAGTTGGAATAGTGCTACCAAAATCACCCAGAGCTAATGTTGTATAAAAACTTATATAATAAACATTAATGAAATCCCTAACCTAGATAAATTAACTTTGCTTGCTTAAACACGTTACTTAGTACCAATAAGTCAATAAGGATTAAAAAATGTTTACTATTAGCTATTAAAATTTATATCAGATATATATTGAAAATTTATTTTTCAGCTATGAAACCCATAAGAATAATATCTATATTTTTTGTTTAATTTCAAGTTAATAATTCAAATCATCTGTATTAGGTGAGATACGTTATTGATCTAGGAATGAAAAAGCCATTGTAAAAATTTAGTCTGTTACAACTACAGTTGCAGAGAAGTTTATGGAGTTTAGAAGGAAAAATATCTATAAAACATATTAATAAACTTCTTAAGTCTTTATCATTACTTCTCTATTTTAATAAAAATATAGTTGAGAAGTTCATAAATGAAATAAGAAAATAAATTTATCAGACTTAATGTGGCCATCAGAATAGATAAACAAGCTTCATGGCCTCATTTACTCTAGTTAAGAGAAATATTTTTTGAAGTTAACATTTCTGAAAAAACTCAGAATTAGAAAATTACTGAACTAAAAAAGTAAATATTGTAGGGAATATAGTATAAAAATAGAACACAGTTTTTAAGTATTAACTAACATAGGAGATAAGCTTATGCCTTCCCCTTCTGTAAGAAGTCCCCACCGCGATTGAACATACATAAGATAAGATACATAAATTTGAAAAGCTAATTGAAAATATAAAAATTTTAAAACCAACAAACTAAAGTGTTTATAAATGTTTAATCACATCCAAATTATTATGATTACTAATTAAACTAAGTTTTTCAAACAAGTTCCATCATTATTGTATTCAATATTATGTTAAAAACAACAATATTTTCATTAAAACATCAATTTTTTTTACCAAATTAATATTGAATAGTGTGACTGCTGCATATAGATTATAACAAGTTTATTTATTTTTTTTTAATGTATTTTTCTTTTTTCTTTAATAATTTTTTCTTTAATAATTTGAAGTTGATATTATTTCTTGATTATAATTTAAAATGTTTTTTTTTCTTTCAGAAATTAATTTGAACAATTATTTAATTAACTGATAATAATAACTAGTAAGTGACTGGGGTCCCGGCTACAAATAAGACTTTTTTCAAACCCAGCCCTGGTCCCGGCTAAACTATAAAATTTACCAGGGATTGATAGTCGGGGTTAGAAAAAAAACTATAATACTTTATATATTATGATTTTATGCTTACATTTACTATTTATTAAATACTGGGATAAATTTATATATTTTCAAACTCTAATTTACTTCCAACAAGATTACAAGCAACCACTATTAAGTTATAAGTTACTTTAAAATAGAGAATAAGTAAAACTACTAGGAAATGGTTAACTGAAGACTTAAAAAGATGTAGGTTGTATATAAAAGAAAAATATGAAGATGGCTAATAGTTATAAGGTTTTTTTGATGTGCAAAGAAAAAAACTGGATTAATAAAAGAAGGGGCAGATACAGTAGAAGTATGCAACTTGTTGAATAAGAAACAAGCAAGAATGAGTTTTGGTTTATCATAATAGAGATGATAGCTTGTTTGAGCATTGACCATGTTTGTATTTGTAGAAAAAAGAAATAAATGCAACCTTGCAACTATGGGAGAGTGGCTCAATCTTGGGAGATAAAATAGAACTAATTACATTTATAATGTGCTTTTGTTAATTATTATTACATTGTGCTTTTATTAATTACATTTACAATGTGCTTTGACTTTGTCTGAGGGTAAGAAGATTGGAATGCGAATAATAATGCAATATTTTTTTGCAGTAAATAAATGAGTTTTGTTGTCTAACAAAAATTGTGGATTTTAAATCCAGACTTAAAGTCCACAAGCCACTGCAAGCTTATGCTGTTACAGAAAAAAAGAAGACTTTTAGTCAAGAGTAGAGTATTAAGTTGTCAGGAAAAAGAGCCACTTTAGATTTCATGAAGATTGTTATTGTAGATAAGAAACAATACAGGAGCAATGGTAGAACCTTATGGTACCTTTAAAGTTACTTAAAATAAAGAAGATGGTAGGCCTTAAATAATAACTTTACTAGTGCAGTTAGAAAAAAGTAATTTAATAACATCAAATCCTTTATATGAAGAAACTAATAAGATAGTAAAAGCTAATTGTAGGATAGTCGGAGAGGTCAAAGTGTTTTCTAGAGTTTTGAAAAATTGGAACCACTTATTTAGCACTTTATAAAAGTTTAGCAATAATTGAAGAGAGTTCTGGAGAACACTTTTTAAAAACTACGATGGAAATCTTTTTTGGAGCATAAACTGTAAAGTGTTAATTAGGAATTAACTTAAGCATTGAAAGCCAGAGTGATTTGGATAACAATGGGTTAATCTGTTTTTCAGGAAGAGAATGGCCATTATATTCAAGAGTCAAATAAGGGTAAGATTTCTTTTCAAATAACTCTGCCTTATTCTGGGATGAAGTAAAAAGATCAGACACATGAACTAGAGATTGAATGTTAGACTTATTTTGGTTAATGACACTGTTGAAGACTAACCAAAAGTCTCTGGAGCCTATCATCAAAGATAAGATACAAGATTTAGTAAACTGAGAATAACAGAGCTTAAAATCAGACAGGACCTTTTTACATTAGCTTTTTGCAATAATAAAAGGACAATTGTTCTTAAGAGAGATGTTCTTGTAAAGAAAATGAGAAAAATGATTAATGTTTAGTAAGCGATTACTCAAGATGGTGAAAAATTTGGAGTAAAATGAGGCTTGACTTAAAGTTGAAGAGAAATAATAAAAGCTTCCAAATTTTCATTCCAGAAGGAATAAAAGCTTCCAAGATGCACTTTATGCATGCATAATATGGATACAAACATATCTGTTTACTATTTATTTAGATGCAGGCATACAATATTTTTTTATTTTTATATAGACATTAGTATTTATATAGAATAGTATTTGCCAAAAGAAAAGATGATCAAATGGATGTGTAGTGTGACTCAAGCATGACAAAAAAAAAAGGCATAATCTAAAAAGGATTCAAAAAAACAATGTATTGAAAAAAGTTTGTTAGAAAAGATTAAAGTAATTTAGGCATCAGCATGTAGAGAGGTACAAGCTTCAGTAGAAAATGGTAGTGGTAGTAATAAAACTTGAAGAGAGTGCCATACAAATTGTATGAATGAGCTTTAGTTAAAAAAAGCTCTAGATTGTTTATATTAGAGAAACAGCACAAATAAGGAACGCTAAAGGCAAGGCAGCTGATGATGATGATCGTGATAATAATGATGATGATGATCATGAAGATGATGATGATCAGGATTTAGCATTCCTATTTTGTGCTGTTGGTAATGATGATGATCATGATTATGATCATCATTATCATCATCATCATCATCATCATCATCATCATCATCATCATCATCATCATCATCATCATGATAATAATGATGATTATGATAATCTTGTTGATCATAATGATGTCATAATAATGATCTGATCATCATTATCATCATCATCATCATCATCATCATCATCATCATCATCATCATCATGATAATAATGATGATTATGATAATCTTTTTGATCATAATGATGTCATAATAATGATGATGATCATGATTATGATCATCATTATCATCATCATCATCATCATCATCATCATCATCATCATCATGATAATAATGATGATTATGATAATCTTGTTGATCATAATGATGTCATAATAATGATCATGATCATCATTATCATCATCATCATCATCATCATCATCATCATCATCATGATAATAATGATGATTATGATAATCTTGTTGATCATAATGATGTTTATATATGCATATAAATATATATATACAAAATGCCACATGAATTTTAAATAAATAAAATAATACTCTAGTATGTATAAATGTTTATGCAACCCTGGTCACAAACCTGGCCCCAGCTATATTTTATCAAACCTGGCCCCGACCCGGTCAAATATAAACCCCGGTCGTTCACTAATAACAACTGCTTATTTACTCTTGATAGAAATCCTAGATTTAAGAAAAATTTATTTACTATTCTGATTTATCAAAAAGTTAAAAATTTCTGATAATTTCAATTTGATCTTTAATAAAAAATTTAATTTAGTTAACTTGTTTATCTTTATATAGTTATTTTTCATCTGTGTAATGTTTTATAATTTTCAATTTTTTTAAAAGAGTATTTATTATTTAATAAATATCTTGTAACAATTTGCTAATTATTATTTTACTTAGTTTTTAGATAGTTTTGCTGAACTTGTTAAACTGTTTCAATTTTCTTTATAGAGTGTTGTAACAACTACACCTCATTTTAACTGTTCAATATACACATCATGTCGCACTTGTACTAACGTAAACAGTTGTTTTTGGTGTGAACCTTCCAAAGTATGTGAAAAGTTTCCATCAAAGCAAATTTTTCCAAGTGGATGTGCGAAAAATGAATGGTATTGGAAGCAGTGTCTTGTTCCAGGTAATTAGTTTAAAACGAAGTTGGTTAATATTAATTTAATAAGTTGATTGTTATTAATTCAATAACTTACTTACAGCAACACTTATTTTGTTTTTATATGGCTTTTATTTCATATGGCTTTTGCAGTGGTGTTTGTTAAGTTTATTTTGTTTAATTAAATAGTGTTGTTTGTTAAATTTATTAAGTGTTTTTTGTTATTTACTTTTTTTATTACTGTCGAAATAAATGATAAGAGTATAATGCAATGAGTAAAAATTAAAAAAATAATTTAAAAGTATAAGAAGAATAACAAATGAAAAAATTAAAAATGTTTTGGGAGATTTGAAGAGAATTCTGGAGAGTAGTTTTGCAAGGCAGAAATGTTATCTGGAATACAAGCCAAAAAAGAGTTTAATTGAAAAATGATTTTAGCAATGGAAGCCACTGTAATTTAGATGTCTAACAATGGGTTATTCTGTTTAACTGGAATGGCCAGATGAGTCTGGGCATTAGATTTAAAAGAAGAATTAAAAGAAAAGCAAACATTTCATCTTTATCCTTGGGAGAGCTAATAAGATCTGACCAATAAATTAGCGATAGAATTTTAAACTTACCTTTGTCGATGAGACTTTTAAAGATTTTCCTAATTTCTAATTAAGAAAGCCTATTTTCCGAGATAAGATATGAGATTATGCTCCTGTGAAAAGGAATGAAAGCTTCCATACCTGCCTGAATTTAGCAGTTTATGTAGGAGGCACATTTATCAGCAAGGAGAGAAAAGACATCAGCCTAAAGCAGTAGTTTAGTGACAAAAAATAGTTTTATGTAATATTAGATGTCTTCAACTGGAAGCCCATTTTGTTGCTTTGCGTTGAACAGATTTAACCAAGGTTTTATCAGTTTTTAAATAAGAAATCCAAAAAGACTTATTAGTATATTTATAATGTAGTCTTATTATCATAATAATTATACTCTATTATAACTTACGAGCCATATTTTGATCAATGAAAGTGAATGTTTGTTTGCATAAAAAAGTTTGTAAGGACCTAGAGACAGCTGTTTGAATATGAGTGCTCTATTTGGCATTATAATGACTTCTGAATCATGCTCTTTGGTAGAGCTTTTTAGTGATTGATTTATTATACATTTTCATTTTTTATGTTGTTTATTCCAAAAGATCTTAATTTTAACATAAGTTTTTTGTTAGGTAGAGAATCAAACTCTTTGGTGAAATTGAGATACATTACATCAATAAACTGGTGAAATGCTATAAAAAATGAAATATTATCAAATATCTTAATGACACAGGCTATTAGCCAGCCTGATAACACCGTGTATAACGTGGCATTCCCAATTGGTTAAAAATTCCCAAAGGTTCATATGATCATTGTAAAAAAATAAAATGATTAAATCAGTTCCAGATTTAAAGTGTCACACTAGAAAAGTAAACAAAGTAATTAGTACACACAACAAATAAATGAATTAAGTTGATCAATTTACATGTAAAAAAGAGTTATTGTTAAAAAGCAAGATCATTCAATAGTTAAAAAAAATTTTTTTTTTTTAATTTTTAATTGACAGTTAAGATTTTTCAATATGTTTAATGACTTATTTTTTTAATTTATTCTTATATTCAAAAACCCATTATTTACATTTTTACTGTTTGTCTTAAGTTAGGAATGTTACAAAGATTATTGCATATTAATAAATATTATACTTTAAAATGAGTTAATAACATTTTTTTAATTAAAAGAATTAGTTATACTTTTGGTAAAGTAAATTAGTTTAAAGTAAACCGAAAATAACAACAACAACAATAATCAAAAATAAAACTTGCAATGAAACATATTATATTTGCGTAAAACATAAAAGAAGGTTGATTTAATTTTTTTTAAACCATTTATACTCATTTCCTTATAAAAATTTGCAATAGATTAGGTTTATTATATTAAATAATTCTTTTTATTATATTACAGCAAAATGTGTTATAACTAAATAGACTATTAAAAATTCAATATTCAAGCACTTATTATATGGAGGTCAGGACTTAATAAAAAACGCAAAACCTGGATTTGCTCACTTGAAAAAAGTTTCACTTTAAAAGTTATTGAGCATTCAAAAACTTTCTAATTTAAAAGCTTTTGATTTAAATAAGTTTTTTAACTTCTTAATTTATTTAATGATAAAAATCATAATATAAAATTAGATTAACAAAAATATCTATGTAAAAAAGTTTAAAAATTTTATTTAAGTATTTTAAAAATTTTAGTTTTAAGATAAAAGCATTTAATAACTTAAATATTCAAAAACTTTCCATATAATTATGGTTGCAAGGTCTAGCTTTTACAGTGGAGAATACATAATATATACATCTAACCTATAATATATAGTGTTTTTATCGACAGTTGTCAATTAAAATATTTTTTAAGAATATTCAATTAAAATGTTTTGTTACAAAATTAAATACTTTTTAGCACTTTTTTACATTAATAATTAAAAATAAAAATAAAAAAAGGAAATAAAAGTATATGTAACTAATCGTTTAAACCTTTTAAAGCTGTATTTAAAATGTGCACAATTAAAATAGATTAAAGTTTCAATAAATAAATTTAATAATTTATTCATTAAAACATTAATTGCAAACAATTGTCTTTTGTTCTTGTTTTCTCTACTATTTCAAACAAAGAAAAGACCAATTTTAAAATTAAAACTTAAGAAGATTGCTCAGAATGAATTAAGTTTAGTAATAATAAAACATTTGTAAAATAGAAAAATATTCCTGCTATGAATATAACCCAGCCATGGAATTTAATAGAACAATAATAGAACAATATTCCTGCTATGAATATACCTGGGTCTTTGATGCGCTACTGGCTCAAAGACTGTCACAAACAAAATCATTAAAAGAACCCCAGTCTTCTTAAGGGTAGTAGTAAGAAGTGTGTTGGTAGAGTGAGTCCAAAGAAGGAAATCTACTACCAGCCGGCCTCAATATCATTAAAATGAGTTTTAGAGCTATACCCTCATTAGGAGATATTAGAAAAGGTTGCATAGTTACTATCAAGGAGGTACAAGCAAAAATCTATGAGTCTAGAAGTTTTAGCATTCATCATCATTGGCTTGAAACAATGTAACACAGGTTTACGTCTAAGCCTCTAGCAATAAATAAAGAAGGGGTTTAAGGCTGGTCAACAGAATTATTCTTCTTACCCCTAAAGTCTTTGCATTGAAGGCCTTCTATAAGAGAGTAGCTGGATGCAGTTAACATCTGCCCATAATGAGTATTCTTATTGAGACATTATCTCTAGCCTTTACTCAACTAAGAGCTTTAAGGCAGGGGATTTTGTGTGTTTTCATATTGCTACACTTATTATTAGTTATTATTTGTTATTAGCTATATTATTACAGTTATCAACTGTGTCATAATCAACATTAGATGTGCCTTAAGCAAGTTTTATTTTTTTATTTGTACTTCTAAGATTTTTTCTTTTTTCAAATTTTATACTTTGTATGAAAGCCAGTGTTCTTCTGGATTACTGTGCATTTTTTGGCATTTAGATATTACTTGCTGCTTTTACTGATAAACTTTTACTAAAATTTAATTTGGTTTTATTTTTATTGAATTTTTAACATCTCATATATTTCTATCTATCATCCAATTCATTGGCAAAAAATAAATTTCTTACATCTCAATATACTCAACAGTAGCATATATTATATAGTAGTTAACACAACATTAAAGCAGCTTATTTACATAGAAATAATATATATATATATATATATATATATATATATATATATATATATATATATATATATATATATATATATATATATGTATATATATATATATATATATATATTATTTTAATTATATATATATATATATATATATATATATATATATATATATATTTATATATATATATATATATATATATATATTTATGTATATATATATATATATATTTATATATATATATATATATATATATATATATATATATATATATATATATATATATATATATATATATATATATATATATATATATATATATATATATATATATATATATATATATATATATATATATATATATAGTTTCGATATCAAATAAACATTTATTTTTTGAATTGCAATAAGGATATAAAAATATTGCAAAAATGCGTGCAAAGATCGAAGAAAAAGACATATACGCGGATCTTGTATTCAAAAAAGAAGGCTATAGCATCAGACAAATAGCAGAAAAACTGGGAAGGTCTCACTCTTGCATTATTAACATAATTCAACGATAAAAAGAGACCGGGTCAATTAATGGCCTGCCAATAGTCCAGACTTAAATCTAATAGAGAATTTATGGTCATGGCTTGATCACAAGCTTGGTTAAGAACAACTTTACAAATTGGAAGATTTGAAATCTTCTATCTCTCATCATTTAAATAATGTGTCAGATAAAGTAATCAAAACTTTAATGAATTCAATGCCAGAACGAGTACAAGAGTGCTTGAAAACAAATGGAGGAACAACACATTTCTAAATTATTTTTTTATTGCTTTTTGAAATATTTTTGAACCTGGTCTTTAAATTTTGTCCAATTTTTTTTTTTTCCATTTATATTTTTTACTAGTCAGTTTTTTAATTTTTTAACGTTATTTTGTAAAAAAATTATTAATTCTTTTATAATTTATATTTTTTTATAATTCTTTCTAGAAATGTTATTCTTTTTTTGATATCTTTTTCCAAAATAAAATTAAACTAAGGTTAAAAATAAATTTTGAAAAAAAAAAAGAGTGGTCTATTGAAAAAAATTTTGAAAAAAAATGAGTGGTCTATATATATATATATATATATATATATATATATATATATATATATATATATATATATATATATATATATATATATATATATATATATATATATATATATATATATATATATATATATATATATATATATATATATATATATATATATATATATATATATATATATATATATATATATATATATATAT